CTCTTCCTTAGGCATTCTAATCTGCGTTTAGCCAGTTCCAAATTATTCGGTAGTCTTGGCTTATCATACTTCCATGGTAGACCAACTTGGAAATGACCACCCTCCAATCTAAACGAACTGTTAACTATTTCTAGAGCTTTTTTATCTTCGACAGAATATCCATTGCGAAACGTATCTGCATCCTCGAACTCATGATTATATAGTCTTTCTAAATCTCGCAAAATATCATTAGTGGAACAATGACACCACTGAACTTGATGTAGAGACCTTGATACTCCCTTAGGACCTATAATCATCCAACCAAGATGAGTACGCACAGCAAACGGATGCTTCCTGTCCCCCAGACGTTGTTCCAGGACCCAATGTGCATCCGGAGCATCACACCTAATCAATATTCCTACAAAATCACTTTGCAACCTCGGAAGGGTTATGTCCTTTAGATGATTCCACCGTTTCAGTTGGAGTTCGGTTAAAGGTGTTGCATGATCGATTGGAAGTTTCTTGGTCGTGTAAACCTTGTTGATCCTTATAGAACCCTGTTCATCTAATGAAAATACCTCTAAATTTACCTCCAAACAATCACAATTGGTAGTTCCGTTCACAGTCGCCACCCTTATCGAAGTCTCTTTACCTTTGATACCCAACTGATTAATTAATTCTTCACATACAAGAGAAGTGTCCGAACCACTATCTAGGAGTGCATATGTTTCCAAACATCCTTTGGGACCGTATAGTCTGACTGGAACGATCCCCAAACAAACCTTTGAAGAGTTCCAATCCTTAGCTAGGTTCACCACATGGTTATCAATACTAGCAATATGCAATAATGAATTATGCCTAACCTTGCAATTCTCAACGTCGCACTTGATGCCTGAGTTGCATGTCATAGCTATGTGACCCTTCCTCAAACATAAGTAACATAGACCACGTTTTCTTACCTCCTGCCTCCTTTCTCTTACATTCATTTTCGCTAACCTTGGACAATCTGTCGCCTCATGATCACCTACGCAGATTTCACAACGTGACACCTTGACTGAGCTATTTGGGTTTCGTCTAATTGCATGAAAGCGTGATCTCCTATCAGCTTGGCCTTCAGAATTCCTTTTACCGAACCTTGAGTTACACTGTACTAATCTACCATAACGGGTTCGGGCAATTCTGGCCCTCTCTTCTACAAAGACCACAAATTCTTCAAAGCTCGGCTCCTTCCCATGCATCATGATTTTATCGGCGACTTCCACCCACTTATTCTGCAATTCTAGAGGTAGGCAAGAAACTATTACCTCCAAATTAGCCGTAGAATTAACGTCAGACATATATCCCATTTGCTTCAACGTTATACATACATTACGCAACTTAATCGCAAAGTCAGTTAATACGTCAGCCGATCCTCCGACAGGTTTATGGTTTAATAACTCAATAATTAGTTCTCGTGCAACAAGATGTTCTTTACCAAATAAATCATACAAAATTCGTTTAGCCCTATCATAGCCAAAATCACTGGGCAAAGAAACGCAAGATTCAATTGCTGTTCTGGCCTTTCCCTTGCAATAATATAACAAATACGACAACAATTGGCCCTTATCTGACAGTTTACTCTCTATAAGGCTATTAAACTGACTAATGAAACGGCAATACTGACCCGGCTGCCCATCAAAGTACATCATATCGATCTTAGGTAAAACCATGTTACTAACCATTGTATGTAACGTGTCCTTCAGCTCCCCAACCCAATCGACATTTGAGATGTTACATACCTCCCCTGAGTGATTATTACACCCAGTATCACAATCCAAATAATTTTCCACTTTAGCATTTATCCCACATTTATCTACGGGTAATCGTTCATCGTCCTCGATGGCCTTGCATTCTAGTTCAGCGATATCAACCTCTTCTTGTAGATCTAACATCTTAAGTTGCCGTTCTAATTCAAGTCTCCTCTCTAAATTCCTTTTCCTCAGTAATGCTTTATCTAATTTTAATCTAGAAGTACTTAGCTGGCTAGAGGACATACTATTAAGACTAACATCATCACATTTATCATCATTAACATCAGACATACCACAAACAGCTTTAGGAATTTTACCATCCATTTCGTCATTTTCCTTCAGCCTTTTGCTCCGTGTTTCCATCGTATTTGTTGTTCCAAATAATCAATTACCAAAACAAATCCGAATTAATCCAAACGAAATCGACCAATAAGACCAGGAATTTGGACCCAAAATATCCAGAAATCCAAGGTATGAACACAGAACCAATAATTGAAGAACTTTATGTTACGTCCAAGTTTTGCTCGTTCCAGTTATTGAAGTACGGACTATCGATCTACTTGCAAATTACGAACCCAAATTAACAACAGAACCAAGTTCCAATTTAGATACCAAATTTATTCGTAATTCACAAGTAATCGACCAAATGTCGTTCTAATAACAATAATTATAACAATTACAAAACAAACCTTCAATTTTGTAGGTTCCCGGAGCAAAACTCCCAAATACCAAACCAAAGACAAAAAGAGCACCAAAATACCAAACCAAAATGTCCGAAATAATGATATAAACAAACAAGTTCAAAAGTTAAGTAAAACAATTACATCCAAAAGCACAGTAAATTATTAATGTACAATAAAGGGTTTTAATCCGTCAAAGGTCTTCAGTTCTCCCGTAACATTTATTGATTGTGTTTTTAGAGTTTATCCAGTCATCTTCATTAAAATTTTACACTTTTTTCATGAAACCATCCAGTCAGCTTCAAGTGACATGTTAGCTACTTGTCCCAGCAATCAAACACATTAACTTACACTCAAGGTATCCTTGACCATGAAAAGCGGTCGGATGCACTTGGGGTAATACCACTGAACGGTCATTCCACCTACCAGAAAGTTTTAACCATACGGTTAATACAAGATGCGACTTCAAACAGATACGCCAGTTTACAGTAGCTTGTGGTGGACCAGACGATATATAAACGCAAAAAGTATCAACAAAGTTAATAAAAGTCAATAGTAATATTAATATATACCAGTTAAATGTTACAAATACAATAAAAACGGGACTTTACTTAAGTTCGCCCAAAATGATGCGTGTTCAGTTTTAGTCTGGTACATTAAATCTACAATTATAAATACTGGGTAATTTTTAAACGTGTCGACGAACTCTCCAGTGGTGTGATCCAAAGCAAGGTATGTGGTATTCGCACTCACAGTCTATGAATGTAAATAATATTTGTTTTAGATCTCAGTTAACTCAATCTCGAATGAAAATAGAACGACGAATATGTGAGAAGCAGTGTATTTGCTAGCCAGCAACGGTATGTCACGCTATGTCAGAAGCACAACAGGAAAATGTGTTCAAGGTTATTTACTAAAACAACAGTTACAGTCATTCAATGTTAAATATACATACAGTGGAAGGTTGGCAAAATGAATACGAATAACATTGAAAACTATTTACAAAATAAGCTTGTCAGGCCTATCTCCACATAGCTCCCCCCAGAGTGTCCGGAGGTAACACTGGTTATAATAACAAAAATATGTAAGGATATGATATATACATGTATACAAAAATAATATTTACAGTTATAGCTAACAAAAATGTAGAGATGAGTATGGCATGTAGCAGAGATGTAGCATAGCATAATAAACACACACACACAAAAATGAAGACACTGTCACTTAATGTCTTGGTTGGCTAACAATGATAATAATAATGTGCAAAACTGATAATGACCCAAAAAAATTGAACTGTTTATTTTTGTGTACAATAAATGAGTAATTAAATAGAGTTTACTCGTTTATTATAGTAACAAAAAAATTTTTTTATAAAAAAAATGTGACAAAACGAATAATTGTGGAAAAATGTGATTATGTACACTGTGAAAAGAAAAAAAATTTTTTCGGGTGAAATTAGTAGTGTATGACATCGGCAGGTGTGTGCTTTGTTTTTGTTTTTTTTAATGGACGAAATGGACATAACGCTTGGGTTTGTTTATAAGTCTACCGGAGCGTGTTAAACAAGAGGCCTTAGTATTAAGCTATTTATCCTCCGCTGGTTTTTCGGGCACTAGTGGGAGGGGTTGTTTGTCAACGGCGTTGTCTTCTTGGACTTGAGTAGCTTCATAGAAAGCAGATTTTATTCTGTCTATAGAAATGGTCTGCTTGTCGCCATCTTTGTTGATGATGAAGTATTTTTGTGTGCGTTTAGTTACTTTATATGGGCCTTCTTATGGTTGTTTTAGTAGTTTTTTAACCGCATCTACTCGGACGAAGACAAATTTGCACGTTTCAAGGTTTTTATCAAGTTGGACTCGATTGTTGTGTTCGCGAGGGGATATTGCTTTAATATTCTGCGTCGTTTGTAATAGGCGACTTGCGAAGTGAGTAGAATCCCCGTGCGTTGTGGGTTCATAGTTGACTAGTTGACCAGGTAACGTTAGAGTTGTACCATAGACTAACTTGGAGGCTGTACATCCAATGTCTTCCTTTATGGTTGAACGAATACCGAGGAGTACAAGAGGTAAGGCATCGCTCCACTTTGATGAGTCAGCTTGCGCCATCAGTGAACTTTTTAATTGGCGATGGAATCTTTCAACCATGCCATTAGCTGCTGGGTGGTAAGCTGTGGTTTCAATGTGGTTGACCCCTGGAAGTTTAGTGAACTCCTGAAAAAGGACAGATTGAAATTGGGGACCACGATCTGTTGTGATTATTAATGGTACTCCATAGTTAGATATCCAGCGGTCGAGGAAGACTGAAGCGACTGTTTCTGCCGGAGTGTCTTTTATGGGGCAGGCTATGGCCCATCTAGTAAACCTGTCTACTGCGGTGAGAATGTGGGTGAAGGAACTGGACGAAGGCAGTGGACCAAAGTATTGGATAGTGTACATTCATCATCAAAAACCCTGAATGGTACCGAAACAACTACCAATGGGCACAAAAATTATAATGATTTATACAGGCTCGCCGAAAGAGATATTGGATATTGGGTGATAGCCGTTAGTCTGATTTCTCGAAAGCTGTAGAACTCGCGGGTAATCCGGTCTTACATCGTTCCCTCCGTCATATTCCTTGTTGTCCCCTATTTTGGGTGTCAGAGTCAAAACAAGTGAGCTCCTTACGTGTAACCTAGTGTTTCTTGACGTGATGTCTCTTTTACTTACAACGTCTGGTTTCGTACCAGTTTAAGTAGCCCGATTTTGAGGAAAGTTTTATCAATTATTCGGAAGCTGCATTGGAAAATTTAAGGCTTCATGGAAGTGTGATAAAAACCTGAAAATTCCAGTTGGTCTAGGGATTTTCTTCAAGAATATAAGCAGGCGAAATCCCCAAAATCGACCTTTAACAAATTGTCTAGATGTTGTAGAAATCTCATTAACTTCGGATTTTGGGAGGTTTCGGAGTTTAACCCAAAGTCGTAAAAATTACTAGTTTTTTCCAAAGTCTGGTAAAACATCGGGAAAACCTCAAAATTTGCACAAGAGTTGTAGGGACATGCTTATCCGTGTATTAGGCGAAAGAAAACTAGCAATTATTTTAATCGAAGTCTGATCACACATTTCGTGTTTTAAGATGTTTTAGTTCTTTCAGTGTTCTTGATAGCAGTTGGCGACTCTGGTTCGCCTGCTTATTGAAAAATTGCTTTTACTTGTGGGTGATTTCCAGTTTCAAACTCACAGTCTTTTCAATTCACTTATCACTTAGTGTTACAGTATGGTTGTTGCTACCTTGACGTGGTGGTCGGGCTTGCCTATCGTGATGAAGCAACCGAGCTATACTGGCTGGAACAACCGTTCCTCAAGGTCCTACCATGTCAGACAGGTCGGTTGAAGAGCGGTAAGACTAAAAGCAACAAACCCAAGGTCCGAAGGCGAAGTCGTACTGCTGACTGTACAGAGGTGTGACAGCAGTAAGGTGTTTCCTTCAGACAACCAGCATGACAGCGATGCTGCCTTCCCACAAGGAGGGATGGGGTTAGAAAAGGTCGACCCTAAAAATGCACACCTCACCTTACCTCACGGATTTCCGTCTCCGGCGGCAAGGCCCTTTGAAGAACGGAGCTAACACGTCAAAAACCTCCTACGAAAAGGCCGTGCGCGACCGGCCTCAAGCAGTTGTCCCTTGGGCACTGCGGTCACGCTCTCAGGTCACTAAGACCACCTTTAATCCAATTTCCTTTTCAGGTACCTCCAGAACAACCCTTCCACGGTGTGGGCAACCGGGAAGTGATAACCGCCCTCATACCTCTAACAGCACCCAAGACCACTGTATTCATAATCAACCTCCCTCTTCAATTCCTATTATTCCTCCTACATCGACTTTCAACTTTAAATTTCCTCTCTCGGCTTCCACCTCAAGTGTCACCATAGCCAACGATTCTAGTGCGCAAAACACTGTCCCAGGTCTACTGAAACCTCGCTCCAAACTACACATTGGAGCCTTCAACGTACGCACCCTATGTCAAATCGGTCAGCAGGCTTCCTTTGCTAAAACCCTAGAGTCTCTTTCCATTGATGTATGCTGTGTCTCCGAAACACGCATACAGGATTCCAGTGTGGTTATTCACTTGACCTCACCTCGGCAAAACGGAGAGCCAACAAGATACACCCTTCGTGTATCTGGTGACCCGATGGCAAGTTCTCGTGGACTGGCAGGTGTAGGCATAGCACTAAGCATGAGGGCGGAACAAATACTGCTAGAGTGGATCCCCGTCAACAGTCGTCTATGTGCTGTTCGGCTGAACGGCTACGTAAGAACTCGGAAGGATAGGGACACACGTCGTTGCCTTTTTGTCGTTTCTGCCTACGCTCCCACTGACTGCAGCTCAGATGATGTGAAAGATGAATTTTACAGAAAGCTGTCCGAACTTCTTCAGTAAGCTAAACGCTCAGACATAGTACTCGTAGCAGGTGATTTTAATGCTCAGGTAGGTAGCTTAAACCAAACAGAAAGGCATTTAGGTGGATATTTTAGCATTTCGGCACAGCGAACAGATAATGGTGACCGTCTGCTGCAACTGTGCTCAGACAATCGTATATTTTTAGCAAACAGATTTTAAGCATAAGAAGAGACATCGTCTAACATGGCGACCCCCTACACTAAACCAACGATGGACTCAAATAGACCATATTGCCATCAGTCATCGTCGGTACAAGATTGTCGCTCATTCTGGAGTACCTGCTTGGACTCCGACCACGCCCTAATACGGGCACGCATCTGCTTGCGCCTCACTGGACGCAAAAAAGCCACATCAAAAAGACCCGTTAGAACTGAGTTGAGTAACGAGAAAACCAAAAGTAGGTTCCAGGAACAACTGAGGTCACACTTAGGTAGTTATGAAAACGAGGCTGACCCAGATGCTGCTTGGAAAGATATACAAACAGCTGTGGAAACAGCAGTGACATCTATTAGTGACTTAAACCACAGAGTTACAAAGAACCAGTGGATTTCTTCAAGGTCTATCACACTGATGGATTCTCGCAAACTCGTCCCATCAGGTTCTGAACATGATGAAGAGCGTAAACAAATCAGATCTAGGTTAAGAAAACGTCTAAGGAACGACCGTGAGGAGTGGTGGGCAACAAAAGCAAAAGAGATGGAAAAGGCGGCGACTATAGGGAATACAAGACAGCTTTACAGACTAATAAAGGAAACTGGAATTAATAAGTCAAGTGTAAGTGAGATTATTTCGGAAAAAGATGATACTCTCATCTGCTCCCAGTCCAGGCGTTTAGAACGATGGGCGGAACATTTTAGAGAACAGTTCAGCTGGCCTTCAGCTACTGTACAACTACCCTCTATTCCCAGACAGTGTGAATGGAACATTGAAGTAGGTCCCCCAACTCTTGCTGAAGTTCAAAAGGCTATAGTTAATCTGAAACGAGGAAGGGCAGCTGGTCCAGATGGATTGGCTCCAGAGGTCTTTAAGGATGGTGGTCCAATTTTAGCGATTAGGTTGACTAATATTTTAGCTAAAATCTGGGAATTAGACTTCATCCCATCTGACTGGTCGCAATCACTTATCGTCCCAATATATAAGAAAGGGTCAAAATCATCCTGTGACAACCACAGAGGGATTAGTTTTACAAACATAGTATCTAAAATACTGGCCTCGATAATTATCAAACGCCTAACTAAGACTCGTGAACTACAAACTCGAGAGAACCAAGCTGGCTTTAGACCTGGTCGTGGCTGCATCGACCACATATTCACCATTCGTCAGGTTCTAGAACACAGGCATACCTATCGGCGTCCGACGATGGTGGTATTTCTTGACTTAAAAGCAGCATTTGACTCTGTAGACCGCGAGACTCTGTGGCAGTGTCTGTCATTGAAAGGCGTACCTCAGAAGTACATAAACCTTGTGAAGGCTCTTTACTCGAACACTACTAGTCGAGTCAGGGCTTATGGCGAACTGTCATCTACTTTTGCAACCTCAAGTGGTGTCCGTCAAGGCTGTCCACTTTCTCCATTTCTGTTTAACTTCATCATAGACCTATTGATGGAAATAACACTCTCGTCGACTGAATTCTCGGGTATTGATCTCCTTCCAGGAGGTCCACTTATCGACTTAGAATACGCAGATGACATAGTCCTGTTTGGTGAAGACGCTGACAAAATGCAGAGTCTTCTGGTAGCACTAAGCAACAATGCCAGAATGTTTGGGATGCGCTTCTCTCCCTCTAAATGCAAGTTGTTGCTTCAGGACTGGTCTGGGTCAACACCTGAACTAAGGATAGGGAGTGAAGTAGTTGAACGCGTTGACAACTTCACTTATCTTGGAAGTCTGATCAGCCCTAATGGGTTGGTGTCTGACGAAATCTCAGCACGGATTCGAAAAGCTCGTTTGGCTTTTGCCAACTTACGTCACCTTTGGCGGAGGCGAGATATCCGTCTATCAATAAAAGGACGAGTATACTGCGCGGCAGTCCGTTCTGTCTTACTTTACGGCAGCGAAACATGGCCTTTAAGAGTGGAAGACACCCGTAAGCTACTAGTATTTGACCACAGATGCCTTAGAAATATTGCTGGCGTCTGCTGGGATCACCGGGTAAGTAATAGTGAGGTTAGACGCAGGGTATTAGGGAATGATGGTAAATCAGTTGATGAGGTTATGAATCTTCATCGACTGAGATGGTTGGGCCACGTATTACGTATGCCTGAACACCGATTACCACGACGTGCAATGCTAACCGGTGTAGGGGATGGTTGGAAGAAAGTTAGGGGCGGCCAAACCAAAACGTGGCATCAGTGCCTAAAGTCACTAACTTCTAGTCTGAGCCATGTTGGTAGATGCAGACTACTTGGTTGGGGTCCGCGTGACTTTCGTAACCAATGGTTGGAGACTCTTGGTGACATGGCTCAGAATCGATCACAATGGCGTCGGTGTATACACTCCCTGTCTTCCCTTAAACTAAGAGATTAAAATCACTTCATATCTTTCTTTCTACGAACTAATTATTTCTTCCTATACTATATCCTTATTGCAACCTTTGACCTAACCACTCCTATGAATCCGGTGTTCATCTTGCTGTGCTAATGAGGTTTGGCAACCTGGACCGATGCACATATGTGCCTGGTCCTACGTTGTAGCTGACTGACTGACTATTTTCACCACATGTGAATTGGTTCAAAAACATTTCTAGGCGATTTGTTTGTGTTTATTTTATATTCAGATTCCGTATTCATATATTGGTAATTCATCCAAGTTTTGACCAGAAATCTTATAATTAAAATCCTCACGTCGAAATGGGTACAGACGGTTATTCTGTTTTTGTGCTTCATGAAGGACATTATGCTAGATCCCCTGACTACGTATATCGAAAGTGTAATACTGCACTAATTCGTGGTCCAGCAGGTGCTTATGTGGTGAACCCTGGGTCTGTTTGGAATGGGCCTGAGTTGTTATCATCTCTCAAAGCTGCGGGTATTCACGAACCTGAAAAGGATATCAAAGGTGTCATATGTACAGATGGTCATGCTGAACATGTTGGTTGTATGAGTACATTCGGCTGTGCTGAAATAATGATTGTTGGATACGATATACAAATGCGAGGCGACAAGTTTTTGGAGCACGATTTTTCCTGTGGAATAACACCGTATGAATTTGATGAGAATGTAAGTTCCTGTGGTTTATAGAAATGTTGATTAGGAATTCCCCCTCTTGTTTTAAGATTCATTCATTCCATGTCATCTTCGTAGTTTGTGTTGTAGATTACCATGTCTAAAAATATTCATCATCGATTGTTCACTAGTGGGTTAATATTCTAATTTATTAAGGACTGATCCAAAAGTTCTTCATTACCTTCTGATCTGCACTGCTAGTCAACACTACAGACCACGAAGTATTTGTGTTTGCCTTTTGAGAGACATGGATAGCCATTCATTTTAAACTAAAACACCCCCCAATTCCCAATTTGACTTCGTAATTTTTTTCCTTATTGTTTTCGTCTTGTTAACCTCTATGATGTTTGTTATTGGACTATTATATTGACCTGGTATTTCATGTATATTGGTTTTCGGTGGATTAGTCTGACCTGTCTACTCAATGGCTTATCAGTTTGAGCTGTGATCTAACAACCATGATCTCATAATCTCGTGACTGCAAATTACGAAAGATAGCATTTGACCACGCTGTTTATTTATCTAAATAAGTAAACATTGGTACAAGGAGGCGTCAAATAGATATGCGCCACATAAGTAATTTGATTTATGTGAGGGCTGGATTACTGATCAGACGCCCAAACCGAAACAGGTGGCTTTCTTAGGGGGCCACACCCCAAGCCTTCGACCTAAAGGTCTAATCCATAAGGCAATGGAGCAACGTCAGGAGATGCAGTCTCATAGTACTCGATGACCAACAATTGTTTCATACGACATTTGTTTCCTTAGGATCCTGGAACCCATATGCATCATTGGTTTGGAGTCAGGGTTTCCCAACTCCCCTAGGTAGATCCTCCGTATCCATCAACCCGGTTAGTGCAGGAAATTCGCTTTTCGGCCTCTCAGTTTCATAAACAACACCCACGTCACGAGATTTATTTTATTTGAACACAAATATTGGTACACGAGTGCGCCAAATATATATGCGCCACGAGAAGGCAGTGAGTAGGACTTCCCTGGCAGTGGTTGTATGCACGTGGTCATGTGAGAACATTTCGAGAGGGAGAGCTGACTCTTCCCACTCTCGGCCGTACCAGGGCATTTGGGGGCTTTGACCATGTGGTTGCAGCAGACACATGAAGGGCACGCTTCCGACCATATAGTGATATTCAATGTTGTCGATTACAGTCTAATAATTACTCATTTAAAGATAAAAATGCCCATGCCAAAGTACTTTCCCAAAAATTTTTCCATTGCTAAATTGTGTCTAGTATTTTCCAGACCAACTACAAAAACATACATTTCGTCACAATCTCAACAAAAAATTCGCTACTGGTATGTCATGATCCAACATAACTTGATACTTCGGTGTGGCTGCAGTTCAGGGTTAGACGTGATCAGTTTGCAGTCTACAAAATTAGTGCTACCATCCTACAAGGTAGCTGACATCTGCAAAAACCGAGATTTGCACCGTTGTGGTCGATTGTTTTTATTGTCTAGTAACCTGTCACTTCGTTTTAAACAAAAGTTGAGAGAACTAACCAGAGTTTAGACTTGATACCATGTTTTTTGTAGTGCTACGTGGACGTACCTACGTCAGACAATAGGCATTTTAGTGGTATGAATTTGTAAGTGACATGCCAATTATCATTTCCTACATTGGTTCAAAATAAAACTCTGAGATTATGACTGATGATACTCGTCGAGTTTCTCCTTGTTCCTTTTCAGTTTATAAAGTCTACGCGCCTGAAGTACTTAAGTGACGGTTTGTCACAAATATACTAATCTACAAAGTATAGACCACTATACTGTTTTTTGTAGCTATGATACTATTTAGTGAAATTTGATTTGAACAGGTTTTTCACAGTATCCAGTGCCCATTTTAAAAAGACTTAATCGTATTGCTAGTGTATATGTCTTTGTGGAGTAAGATGGTATAATATCTACTTGAACAGGTGTACCTATTACAGTGATCTGATCGCGGTCGGTTCACGAATTCTGAACAGGTTCTCTTCAATAGGTAGATATGGTTACCTGGCTGTTTTGCATAGGCGTTGCTAACTGAAAACTGTAAGCCGTAGCAAGTTGATAATTATATTAGAATCATTTTTGTTGAACGAGATTACTAACTAATATGGCCTGTTCACATGCTGTCTCGTCTTAGGGTCAATTTAGACATGTTTAAGCACTCTTCAGTAGGTCAGTTTATTTCTTTAGTATGTTTCTGAATAATGGTATATAAATATCTGATCAATGAAATGTCTTACTGAAGTCCCTATGTCAAACAGGGATTACTGATTTTAAAGACCTTTAAAGTTTACTGCTCTCCCTAGCTTTAAAATAGTCTTTACAGCGTTGGACGTCTGATTTTGGTGGATATGGAGATTCCACCTAGGGAAGTTGGGAAACCCTGATTCCAAACCATTGGTGCACATGGCTCTAGGATCCCGAGGGAACAAATTGCATGTGAACCAGTTTTTGAACGCCGGATACCATGAGATGGCATCTCCTGACGTTGCTCCACTGTCTTGTGGATCAGACCTTTAGGTCGAAGGCTTGGGGTGTGGCCTCCTAAGAAAACCGCCTGCTTCGGTTTTGGCACCCGGACAGTATCACAGCCCACACAAAAATCGTGATTTATGTGGTACATATACATATTCGGTACCCCTTTATACCAATATTTATGTGTTCAAACAAATAAATAAATTTCATCGCAGTTCAGAAGTAGCTGAAAGCCATTTAAACAGTTACTCGAAATACCCAATCTTCCCAGTGATTTTAAATTATCATAGATCACCGTTCAGTTCTCGATATTAGACCCACTAATTTATAACGTTTCGGCCATCAGTGTACTTGATAATTTCTAGTTTTGCCTATCATAATGTCTTGCTTCCACTGCCCACCACTACTGTGTGGGTTGTATGTCTGTTTACATTTGAGTTGCTTTTTTTCATCCTTTTAAAAGCTTAGTGGGACAAAAGCGGAGCTAGACGTTGTTAAATGAAATGAACTCAGGTACTGCTAGTTGTGTGCAGAGAATTAGAGCTTCCGGGTTGTCTACATAATGAAAGCTCACTTTACTGGGAAACGTACTGTTTTTATTTTGGTCTGATGGGTTTGAGAATTCAACCATGTAGCATAAAAAATCTACTAGGCGTTCACACAACGTTTTGTGAATTGTTTTCGGTCCCGTAAAGTTGGGTGCTTTCCATTCCAATCCTTATATCAAACATCGAATGTCCTTGGGGTAGTGTACTTGTTGTTTCTGGAACTAATCTTTTGCAGCTATTGCTTTCACTTGTTACTAGACCGCATCACTTGAGATGCTTTATATTAATTATAGGGACCTTACTGTTACAACTTTTGTACGGCTAACCGTACAATATTAGTACCATATCGAAATGTTATTAGCATAAATCCCTTTCAATAACTGAAATGATTTTGTTATAATACTCTTTTACGGTATAACCCAGCTATTCCTATTGCTTAGTATTCTTGGACACCAATTCACTCGACAAGTCCCCAAATCAGAACACGGTTGAACAGGAAAGAGATTATATTCCAAATAACAAGGTTAGATGGAAGCAAGTCGCAAGTAAGAAGCACAATAGGAAAAACGCCAGTATATTTATAGTTTTTACACGAGAAGATTTCTAGATTGTTCTCCAAGTATCGACTAGCCCTGTTTGGATAAGAATTAACCAATCAGCGTGCACCAAAGCAGTCGTGCATTGACCATGCTTTAATCCAATCTGTGTCCCGCTAACAAATTCCAAATGCCCTTTTGTGATATCTTGGTACTTCCTTTTTTATATTTGAAAAGTAAAGGTAGTTTGGAAACGCGACTTGTTTGTGTGACTAAATAGTAACGGAAACTCAATCATAAATTATATCCGTTCTTATTAGTTATCTTAATTGTTTCCTGTGACTTTAAATTCTCATAGTTCTCCCAACCTAAGGTTTAATAAAGCTATTGGTTGCTAAATTACTGTTACTTGTAAGTCCACCTTGCTTATTTAATTTGTCAGTTGTTATCATCACTTCATCGTTTTAATTAGTCAATGCATAAGATAGGCCGAACTGAACTGCATATGAAAAACGGATGATGAGAATAAATAGATCTACAAAATCATATTAACACATTCCGTTGAAGTAGATTTCCTCGCTTATGGTTTCATAACTTGACTGAAATGAGGAGATTCAACTGATAATTTCAAATATGCTCTTCACATTTTTTCAGTTTTGTGTTATCGGAACTCCTGGTCAGAGAGGTCCACAAGTCAGTTTGATAGTAAATGGTCGTCTTATAGAGTTGAAGACTGGTGAGTGTCGTGAATCATGTCGTATAGCTGTTACTGGGAACTTGTTTATGGATGTTCAAGATGCTAGTCGTGTAAGCTTTCTTGACACGCTGGAAGGGAATTATGGAGAAAGTAACTGTGACAAAGAAAATTTGATCAACGGTTGGCGTCAAAGCCGTATGTCTATTTTAGAGCGAGCTGATTGGGTAGTCCCTGCTTATGGTCCTCCCTTCAAGGTAAATAAAGGTTATTTTCTCAAAATATTTGTCACATTATGTTTAAAGCTGCTGATGCAGTTGATATATTTCCAATTTCTCCCCTCTCATGTAACCTGTTTACCATATACTGATCCTTGTACTTGGTTTGTAGCCACACACTAAATGTGAAGTTTAGTGATACTAGACCGTTTTACAATCGCGGGATTAGGTGAAGCGGGGTTCGAAACAGTGACTCACTGACTGGAAGTTGAACGCCTTAATCACTTAACCATTGCTCCACAAAATACACCCCAGTTTCTATAAGCTATTCTATCTAACAGGTTGTTGTAGAGTAGTCGATGATTACCGTTCTAATAATTGTAGCAATTTTAGTCTTCTGTTTATTTTTATCATATCTATTTAAATTAGGTTTCATTAACCTTCTGGTTAAATAGCTATTCAAACTACCTACGAAACTTCAATATTGGTATGGCCCTAGCTAGTAATTATAGTCGTCATATATCTGTATAGATTTATAAATGCTTCTGAATTTCGGTTGCCAGTAATATGGTGCATTTACCTGTAAGCTGAATTTTTGTCGTCTGAGTGTTGAATCAAGTGCCGAAGTAAGATATGTAAAATCAGTTCCAAAATGACATCTCATTATGCTGAATTCTTTGTGTATTATCACTACCTCTGGTGGTCCGATGAAGTTGCCCATACTAATGCGGAAATGTGAATACTATTTATGAATTTAGGTGTATGAGTTTGAATTGTTCCATCTGTATTTATGTGAATGGTTACCGAAATAGTTAAAAAGTAGCGTTGTGGTTTCTTTGATACTGATGGTCGTATTAAGTGAGTTGATAAAGAGTAGTGCAGAACATGTCCCAAAACCGGTCTAAAATAACGACAGTGTCGAGACGTGAGCATATTAGCAATATATAACACAAACGTATTGAGTAAATTGATTTGTTGCATTGTTTCTCAATTTATTGAATCAAACATACAATTGTTTGTTTGTTTTTCAGGTTAAACCGGAATATTCTTCAACACCATGCGTTGAACTTGCGTAGTGATCTTACATTTTTGTCCGCATTTTGAACAAAAATACAATATCATTATGGAAGAGATTAATTATCATATTATCATAAAAATAAACCTAATTTCACTTTCAGTGAAAGTACAAATCTGTTTGGCGAAAATACAAAACTTCTTGGATTGTTACATTTCCATTTGTATCAGTAGCAAGTTGTGTTATATAAATGATTTTTTTCTAATTTTACTCTTCTTTTCCCTGATATTTGTATGAAGTTTATGCTACTCGATAACATCTCTGCTTAGTTGTTTGTTAACTTGGGATTTTTTGTTCATGTAAGTATTATAGCTGTTTGTTAGGTTGCTCTGCCTTATAACTTCGGTAGGTACTCCCCTATTGTGTCAAACTGTCTAAATTCTGCTATATTTGTTAAGTAGGACATTTTTTAAATTAGCCGTCTCGCAAAACGTGTAACTCAACTATTCAACCTCTGTTGATTTGGATATAGTTACACATTTTATGTAAAAGCTATAGAATATTGTTTCCATGTCTAAGAAAGTCCATATGTATGTTAGCCCACTACGTTATTTTTAGTGTACTTTCATCTTCACTTCAACTTATAATTTTTTTTAACAATCACAGAATTTAAGAGACATTAGTCGTGTATGTTTAATTGCGAATTAGTAAAAATCTTTTACCATTGCTAAGGCACTAGCTATTCTGTTCTGGTTATTATTTTATAATCAATACTTATGAGATAAAGTAATTGCTTAATGTACAAAGTTGTTCTGTTTCACAGTTACTGGGTTATACGTTTGAACGCATCTTCATTTCGGTTTAAACAACTGGTTATCACTAGCCAGTAATGTAGTTCAAGGCTTGCAATATACGAATGTATGTTATACGTAGATATGTTGCATCAGAAGTGATTTGGAAGATACCAATTTACATTTAGTGATATGTTTAGTGATGAAGATAATAATACTTTTTTCTTCAAGTGATATTTCTTATATAAATTGCACCAATTCGGAATAAATAAATAAATGCAACTTTAACCTAATAAAAATCCAAGTATCTACACATGAATCACATCTATCATTAAATCCCTTAACTTCTAGGGCGGAGTTCAAATGGTTTTTTTCTGTTTAACGTTTTTGGCAAGGTTTTCTATGGGATAGAGTTGCCGACCCTATGGACAGCCTTACTCCTTTATCCGGGATTGCGACAGGTAGTAACTCTAAATGGGTTCTAGTAAGAGTTTATTGTTAAGTTGCCCCCAAATACCGAGAGTGGAGAGAGTCAGCTCTCCCTCTCGAAATGTTCTCACATGACCACGTGCATACAACCACTGCCAGGGAAGTCCTACTCACTGCCTTCTCGTGGCGCATATATATTTGGCGCACTCGTGTACCAATATTTGTGTTCAAATAAAATAAATCTCGTGACGTGGGTGTTGTTTATGAAACTGAGAGGCCGAAAAGCGAATTTCCTGCACTAACCGGGTTGATGGATACGGAGGATCTACCTAGGGGAGTTGGGAAACCCTGACTCCAAACCAATGATGCATATGGGTTCCAGGATCCTAAGGAAACAAATGTCGTATGAAACAATTGTTGGTCATCGAGTACTATGAGACTGCATCTCCTGACGTTGCTCCATTGCCTTATGGATTAGACCTTTAGGTCGAAGGCTTGGGGTGTGGCCCCCTAAGAAAGCCACCTGTTTCGGTTTGGGCGTCTGATCAGTAATCCAGCCCTCATACAAATCGAATCATTTGTGTAGTGCATAATATTTGGTTCCTCATTGTACGAGTGTTTATGTGTTTAAATAAATAAGAAATATTGTTAAGTTACATAATTTAAAATATATTAAATGTTTATGCGAAAAGTTTAATGTTTGAGAAATGAATGCCGATATCATTAAGATAAATTCACATCACATCAAATGTTTTGTTGAATCATTCATTTGTAATTGTGTTTAATCAGAATGAACAAGCCCTTTCGCTTATTGGTGTAGATATGTGTTGTTTATTACATTCGAGTTTAATACTCTACGATTTCCTTCACTAAATGGTAGAGTATATGTGCTGTTCAGACTTGACCGTGTCAGGTCAGGCTATTAATTTCATAAGTTTCGCAATGGTTAGTTATGTAGGCGGTACTACTATTAGATTTGTTTGGTGTAGATGACTTCAGTGCTCTGATGCGTTTGTTCACAGTTTGTTCATTTAAAATAGATTTGGCGAACTATATAAATAGTTTAAAAAATCTGGAAGTGTACATTGTGAATTAAAGGCTGAAACGGTCCGTCAACCGGAAGATTATACAGTATCTTAGATCTCTGTTATGAACATCGTTTAGAACTATTTTATTAGTATGAATTGAAGTTAGTCAGTGTGTATTTTCCCGTAAAATAGTATAATATCAATAAGTTTACTTCGTATAAAATGATTACGAATTCCTATTTTATATGACTGTTACCGAACATGTGACATTAGTATTTTGTTTGCAATACAAGTTAGTCACAGGGCTATAAGACAACGGAAACATGAACTCGAAAAAAATAGGAAGGTTATGAATCCTTCCGGTTAGTTGCTGTTTTATACAAAAATTTGAGACTAAATTCATACAGTCATCATGATATCGTGCTACAGTCATTTCTGTTTAGTCCCATATAAAATTAACTAATCAGCACTGGAAATTTCAATACTCCAACCATATATATGTATAAGATTTCTCTATTGTCCCATGAGTTTATTAATGATAGAAATAATAAGCCTAAGCATGTAGAAAATTACGATATAATGGGAAACCGAATAACAGATTTGTAACTAATTGATTTTTATTTTAAGTGTTAATGTAGGGATAAGCCACTTAAGATCGAGAGCGCTGTTACAAGGCTTTTGGGCAAAACTTAAAAATGGATGACTTTTACTGGTAAGAACATGGGCTAAAAATAACCAAACAACTTTCAACTGGTCCTTAACCAATCAGGAAATAGCTTATGCAATTGAATGGTTTGGGGAAAAGAAAAGAACAATATTGCAAAACATAAGCAAATTATACATAAACACTGAGTTGAATAAAGTTATCCAAAGGTTCTGTCTGTAAATTGAGAAGATAAAGTCACAAATTCGTCAGTATGCGTGTAGGATATCCGTCTTCTATAAACCTCACAAGGACGCAAAAAGATCTTTAAGAGTCCTCATATTATCTATGGTTAGAGTTATATATTCAGAACCGGAGACTTAAGGTTCAGTGCGGAAAATGTAGTTGAATTTAGGAACTGGACTTAACAGTTTTCCCGATTTTGATTGACTCTTCCGTATGTTATACTTTTACCATATACTCTTGCCAATATTAATTTACGAAAGACAAATTGTATATCAAAAATTAACGTCCTAAATAAAAGCTTACAATTAAGAGTACACAAAGAATACCTTAAAGCAGTTAATAAGCACACACCAAAAATTCAGATGCTGAAGCATCAGAGAATAGCTTGCCAAGTTCCTCAATTTCGCCTGTTCTTGTACTAGTAGATTCGTTTGCTCACAAAGGCAGTCAGAGTCTGACCATAAGCTTCAATTCAAATTAGTTTTGGGTTAATTAAAAATGTTAACTGAGTAGAATGTGTTATATGTTCTGTTATGTGGCAGCACTTAGCCATTTGTTTGAAAATAATAGGTAACTATGTGAATCATCGAAACTAACTACTCTTATCACATGTCTTGTCTTCCAGACAGAATTTTCGCGATTCATACCTTAAAAATGAAAAAAAGGATAATGTTCGTTCAGTCTTCAGTGTGCGCTTGTAAAACGAAATCTGAAACGGTTAATTAATTCATTCAAAATTATCTTAACCCTCCTCCCCCCCTCTATAAAAGCCAAAATTATCCTGTCATGTAAATAACAATCTAGTGAGTACTAGTCAACTTTGATGAAATAGGAATAATGGATGATTGACAGAGTCATGTGTTGGAGTAGTATTTTTCCTATGGTGTTAGTTTTCTTACTTAAAACCTATTAAAAATAGATAATAAATCCCGATTACTGATTTTGATCTGGTAAATGTAAAACTGATTATATTATATTGAGTAACCTTTTTTTCTCAATTAGATTCATATGTATCTGAACATATTTAGTCTAGATTGTTCAAATTAACCTTGTTGACTAAAATGAATACTCTTCAGTTATCCACGTATGAATAAGTAAAAAGATGTATATTTATGAGAACCATTTTTATAGTATATACTTTTATTCAATTAGTTCTCATTTAATCATATTATCTACTTAGTTCACCCAATTTCGGTACATAAGAAAAAGTTCTCTTTGCAAAAAACGGGGTACCCCAGCCGTTGTATATGTAGAAAAACTCTCCTTATTGTGGACCATCTTCATAAATGCTTCATCTTGTTTTCATATTCTTGAGCAGAGTTCAACTACTGATCTATTTCAATAAGAACCTCATTTTATCGAATTGGACCACATGTGATCTGTTTCGTTTTAACCAGCCAAGTATTATAATTTGTCTTATACATAAAAAAAACAAGTGGCTGGAAACTGAGTACAAAGACTTAAATGCATTTGATTATTACATGAGATTTATGGTGTAAATATATATTATCGACATCATTACCAAGGTTTGAAATAATAATGTCAAATAGATTGAGTATTGGGTTGATTGTTACTTAATTACTTACGCCTGTTACTCCCAATGGAGCATATACCGTCAACCAGCATTCTCCAACCGACTAATAACCTGCTAATATATTTGTAGTATCCCAATGAGTAGAAAAATTAGATTTCCTGACGTTTCTTTACTCATTCTTAGCCAATTTTTTCAGAGAATAAACAAATTAAAGTAACCCAAGTTTAAATAATAAAAAGGGACAAAGCAAAAATATTTATTACGATCAATCTAAAAAAAATGTCATGTCATTCCAGTCAATGCGATTTTTTATGAGATATACTTGTGTATTTGTGTGTGTTAATAAGTGAAAAATATGACATTTGTAATGTAAAATGATAGAGTGACATTTGTATGTTTGGTAATCGTTTGAGATGGTAGCTCGAATAGATGGTCCAAATCAGTAGGATAGTAAGTCCTTCATTAGAACCTCCTCCTCCACAAATGGACCCTTCCACGGTGTGGGCAACCGAGAAATAATAACTTCCCGCATACCTCTAATAGCACTCAAGATCACTGTATTCATAATCAATCGCCCCTCTTCTTTCCTATTGAGGACAGTAGGATTTAGTAATATATAGAAAGTTTCATCTATTCGCATTTCTTTGTAGTTGGAAAATTCTTTTCGTATTATTTTGTTATATTATCCAAGAATACTTTTACTAACACATTTCATTCATTTCTTCTGAACCTGTTATCTCCTTAGACTACTTATATACATATTTAAAATATAAATTCTTGCTTTTATTTTAATCATTCACAATAGGCTAATAGATTACGTCAACATTTCACTCATCAATTTTCGTGTAGTTTAAAGAAACCTATACCTAATTTATATTCAAGATATCTATATCAGTACAAATTAAAAAAACAAAATAAACTATTAACCGCTGCAGCTATTGATGCATGTAATTTAAAGTAAGTTCATTATCTTTTTTTAAAAATCAAATTCAATTGTTTCATTTTCTTCTAATTTATTCTATTTCTACAATTGTCTAAGTCTACTAGCATTATAAACCCTCTTCTAATATTCTGAAACTCAATTAGGTATTTCATTACGTAAATTATTGTTATAATTATTATTGGTTTTATTCAATATTATATTTTTGGTACAATATAGAATTCTCAGCACAAAGTATTTCAACAAGTTCCCTTTTCTTATTTCTTGATTGACCCTTGTGATAAACATTGAGTGGTCACTAATTAGATGTTAGCAGTTAAATAATCGACATCTGATTGGTGTATATTTTTTTCGATGCATATTGCCAGCAGCCACAATGTCTCTGATTGTGCTCTTTTGTAAGTTGTACAGCAAAATATAGTAAACTTTTCTTAAACGCACCTGAGTAGGTTATGCGACTAATAGATATAATATGTTAAAACAAACAAGAAAACTGATAACTAGTTGAAATATCCAGATGGCAGGTAGAGGTAGCTCAGATATTCAACCAGGTCGCCTTCAAAAGAAGAGATTGAAATTTGTACGTATAGTAATAATGTGAGATGTTAGCTCGAATAGATGGTCCAAATCAGTAGGATAGTAAGCCCTTTTTTTCTATTGAGGACAATAGGATTTAGTGATCTATAGAAAGTTTCATATAAGGTTGAGCAGTAAACTTTCATTGATTAGCACGAAAAGATAATATGCATTCAACGTATTAATATATATATATATATATATGTTTACTCAGAACGTCCAGTTAAATCTTGGCCAATAACGTGCATCCGTTAGCATCTCTCACCAGTCATTTGTTTTTGACTTGATATGTCTGATTGGTTCAGCGTATCGTAGCTCAAGTGAGGATTCTCATTCATTTAATCTTAAGCTTCAAGTCTGGTCGTACTAACTAGCTTTTTAAACCTATGTTAGAATAATGATGTTTGCATCTATAACTCATGATCTGAAGGACAACAAATAGCGAATGTATCTACTCCATTGTAGCCCATTCTGAGCCATGTCATCCAATGTCTTTAACCAAAAATATGAAATGCCATACCCCTGTTCCTTTCTAGTTGGCACACGTCAACGAGGTGTACCTGAAATCTTGAGGGTATTGCTGGCCACATGTGGGATAAGCAGAATTAGTGTCACTGGATTTTTCTCCAAAATTTTATGATCTATATGTATAGTGTAATTTGTCAGTCAACAGTCATTCGTTTAGGTAAAGACCAAAAATATAACTTTGTACTGTTCATTGCGTATTTGGTATTTAGTTCTTTATCAACAACCGTCTGATCTGATCTTATTTCCTGATCTTTGTAATATAATTAATAATAATAATAGTAATGGTAAAAATAACCCATAAATTGAACGCCTCATCCATGTTAGACAAAATTAGTCTATCGATACTTAGTTATTTTGGGTTTTATTTGATAAAAACTGTCACTGGTCCAGCTGTTGGATTTTTTATTTGAAGTCATGTCCTTCCATCGTGGGACGATACAACTATTTGAACAGATAAATAACTTTTGCATTTTAATAGCTTTTTTTTACCCTGGAAAGAGATTTCAGTAATGCCTTGAAACCGATTTAATTGTTCGATTAACAAATAACCATATAGTTAGTGAATAAACTTTATGACAGATAATTTGTAGTGGTTGAAATCAATCGCCGTTTGGACTATTCATCTATGATTGTTTGCAACAATTTATTCTATTTTCATAAGTCAGTTGTTATTTCTACTAAGGTGCTGACACCAGATATAAATAACCATTCTTTTGTATCCAACTAATAGGAGTCTCATTTTCCATAGTATATTTTAATCATGTTGTTCGTTTTTGTCTATTTTGAACAATTGAAGCTTATTATGTTTAGTGGTCATTCTAGTCTGATACTGATATATACGCGAACCCGATTCGCTACTTTAGTGAGAAAACCAGGAGTGAGTAAGAAGCTACCAAGACATAGCATCAGTCCAGGAGTAAACTCATTATTGGACTGAGGCATGTAGGCAGGTGCAGACTGCGTGGTTAGGGTCGATGTGATTATCGTAACCGATAGTTGGAAACTTCGAATGACGGCTCAAAATTGTTTTCAATGGTGCGAATGCGTCTACTCTACCTTTTCGTAGATTCTAATTTTTTAAATCCTGCATAAATCTTTTTATAATCTCACTAATCTATATTTTCTCAAATTTTATCTTGTGTGCTTAGTCTTCTCTCTTGCCACTAATTATTGTTTCTGCCTCTGCTACTCTGTGATTTGCCTTGACAATTTCGTCTCGATGTGCTAATGGAGTACAGCATTTTGAACGGATGTACACATTTGCCAGGTTTTATGTTGCATCTGATTAAGAAGCGAACTCGAATTTCAATGTATACACAGACTCATTCATATATATATATATATATATATATATATATATATATATATATATATATATATATATGTAAAGCCAAATCTTAACTGGTAGCATGAACCCGTTAGCAGCATCTCTCACTTATCATTTGGCCGTAAATCGATGTATCTGACTGATCCAGGCCATCAGTTACAACAAATGTATTTGTGTTATGAATTTGCCTTTTATGAGTTGTGACGAAATGTCATTGAGAGATTGTCAAACTAATAGGTAACATGCGCCTAATGATTAATGATATGTAATAATACAATATAGCTGAGTGATGGCTACTTACGCGACTGCATTGTACCAAACACATCATTTAATGAAAATCTACTAAATCGTCAGCTTATCTGGTATCTCTATTTAGTACCTAACTCACTCGATGGTTTCAGTATACGTGAGCAACGCTTCGAGGTCGTTTGCCATCAAATATCAGTTCGTATAACAGGATAAAATTGTGACATTATTTCTGGTCAATTGATTTTTGTATCACTTCTGTAAATGTCGTCCAGCGTGACAAGTGCGAACTCTGGTTAAATCTGTTATTTCTAGTCAATATTTTCTTTTCAATTCAACATGAACTCCGTTCAATATAGATGACGTGAACTCTGGTGAAGAGTGACATTTGCATTGCTCGTGTCAACTCAGGTGTACTATAAGCAGTGTGTTTTTTATAGTAACTTGGTGTATTTTCCCTTGTATTCCATATTATTGTGTGTATAAATGAGTGTGTATATGTCTAAGGACGACTTATGTTAGCTATGGGTTTGGGGACGCAATTTTAATGAGTTAATAAGACTTTATTCCCACCAGTCTTTTGTGTTCTAACTTTGGGTCGCGAGAATTACAGTGTTTCACGATTGTCAAGTATTAGAAATAGGACTGGAAATCCAACAGTGGAGATATGGACACAACATGAACAACAACAACAACTATCCAGTACTTCCTAGTTTCCAATGATTGTCTCACTAAAGTAAGTTTACTACATAATCACTTGAACAATCTCCACAAAGTACTCATCCGAATAATAAAACTAATGATAATAATAACAGAATCAATCATATAAATTTGAAGCCATGTACAAATAAACCAGATTTATTGCCCGAAGACTAATGATACAGTTTACCAGTTCGAATCTCGTTTAATTTGTTTAAACTCAAGTTCATAATTCAATAATTGGCAAATAGACAAAGAAAAACAATCAAATAACATTTACAAACAGAATTTAATTTTGCAAATCTTAAATGTATTTTTTTTAAAAAAAGGAAATTATTATTATAATAACAAGTTCATCGAAATGACTTTAATTCTTCCTGGTAAAATTTTAAAATGCAATCTCTTTAAAAATATTATGTGCTCTATATTATCCTAAAATATATAAATTACCTGAATATATATCTGATGGAATGGACACATCAAACCAACTAGTTTTTTTTAAGGCTGAATGGTAAATCAGAGATACTGATGGGTTCACCCTGTTGTTCAGCGTTTAGATTCATTATCTGAGAGAGTGGAAGACAAGTACGCTATTGGTTGGATATCTGGTTTAATTTTCTTAGGGACACATGTCTATGTTAAATGGGTGAGTTTATGTATATGTTTTAAGTCGTGTCGACCAATACAAGCTTCTTAGTCAGTTGGCTTCGCTTATATATATGTCAGTATCAGATTGGGACAATCGCCCAACTTTAATTGAAGGATGTGAAAATAAGTCGATAAGATACAACCATAGGATATGATGCCTTAAAAGAATCATATCTAAGCATTGTGTTACTGTTACTAAAAACTTATACTTGCTGAACATTATATTGATAAATGAGCATATGTTCTTTTCGATATAATAATTCACTTCAAGGAATGTAACTTCTACACCCAAGAAATTCATAAATAAGAATAATCACTTACGGAAGATATTACTAAGCGAATACTTTACATAATAAATTAAGTAAATATTTTTTTTAAAAACGAATACGTTTGACTTATTTGTCCCTCAATTTATTGATGTTATTTTCTTCGGGTTATTTGGAAATTATATGTATGTTTAAGCGAGATGCGATACGTGTCCATGACTTTGTAACGCGTCCATTTTTCAAAATGTTCAGTATGTTAGTGGCATCTAGGATCTTGGAACATTTTCCTGTTCATTACTTGGTAGGTGAGCACTGAATATAAGAACATAATTTCCACTGAGGTTTCTATTTCAAGCTCTAATTTCCAATTTATTTGCTTCTTCCATCCGGAAAGTTGGAATGCGCTACAGTAGCGTCTTCATAAAAGACATGGCTTCAGATGATGAAATTGAAATCCTCAGTACACTCTTATATACAGCACTGATACCTAAATAAAAGGTAAAATCCTCAAAAATGCTAGATATTTCACTTTTATTGAGTACTGAAGAAAGGATGGCTAACTTAAATACCGTTTAAGCATGAGAGAGTTAAAGGGGAGATGTTTCCTGATCTTTATTAATTTTTAGATTTATGTTAATTAGTTTTTAGAATTAGCGTTAAATTATCTAATTTCTAAACGTATTATTATCGGTAAACAAAACGAGATACTTTACATTTTTGTAAATAGAAACTCTTACAGTTTCGTGATTGTAGTTTCAAATTAATATATTTTAATTATCAAAATACTTTAACGTAAAGCGTGTAAATATGTTAAAACTTATATTGACCAGATGCCTAATAGTGCATCAGTATTTTGTTATCTGATATGTATGGTACAAATTATTCAGTGCAAATAATCATGTTTACTAATTCTCTTGAATACAATAGATATTTAATATGTCATTAACTAAACGTTTATATGTCCGTTTACTCTAACATAATGATACAAAATCAATATGGTTTTTTTAGGATCATATTAGCCCACTGAACGGTGGTCATAAGCAAACTCTAAGCCTTCTAAAAGTTGGTGAATAAATATTCCTAGATTGCAATGTTTGTGTTCGTAGAGTGTTTTTGGCCTCCAAATGCCTCGGTACGGCCGAGAGTGGGGAGAGTTGGCTCTCCCTCTCGAAATGATCTCATGCAACCACTGCTAGGGAAGTCCTACTCACTGACTTCTCGTGGTGGGAATGTTGTTTACGAAATTGAGAGGACGAAAAGCAAATGTCCGGCACATTAACCGGGTTGGTAGACATGGAGTATTCACATAGGGGAGTTGGAAAACCCTGATTCCAAACCACTGGATCCTGAAGGAACAAATGGCATATAACCCAATCGTTGGTCACCAGCTACCATGAGACTGCATCTCCTGACGTTGCTCCACTGTCTTGTGGATCAGACGTTTAGGTGAAAGGTTCCGGGCGTGGCCCCTTAAAAAACCACCTGCTTCGGTTAGGGCACCCGGACAGTATCCCAGCCCTTACACCAATCGAATGATTTGTGCGCATATATATTTGCTTCCTCGTTGTACCAATGTTTATGTGTTTAAATAAATAAATAGAGCGTTTCTTACTTTTTACTCATTGTTTCTAACAGTTGGATAATATCCCGAAATTGTATTGTATTCCTGGTTACTAATTATTTCAGTTACATAATTAATTGATGCAGTTCAGTGACAAAGTACCTAACTGTGAAACACATGTTATTTTAGGGCTAGTTATACTACGTGTATGCTTAAAACAGTGGTTAGAATGATGTCTGAACATGTAATGTGTTGGTTAAATGTCGAGTCATTTATTTCTAACGCTTACTGCCCGATAGTATCAGCAAACACCTACTAACATGTTAATTTCGTTAGTATGAGTTTGTAGCTTCCTATTGTTGTTATTCAGGACTACAGTTGGTTCGTTTCTGGTGCAGTATGTGAATCCTAAGCAGATTACCTCGGTATTACCATTTGGCCTCAAGTTCTAGTAAACTTGGGTTGTGACCAACAGTGAATCGCAGAATGTCCGTTTCGCCCTACTTGGGAATCATCGACTTTACGTCCATGTATCCCAATGTCTATGTTCACATGGTGATTTGTACCTAATATATTACTCAGCAAATGGTAACGCCTTATCCATTGAGTTACTTAGTTCTGATAATTACTAGCTTATTCAGTCGGTATGATGTTTATATCACTATTAGTAAGGATTTGAGCTCAGTAGATGACTGATTGAACGTTTGAAACAAAAGGTACTGGGTTTAAGTTCCGATGTAAACATCATCACTGTAATACAAATATATTCATCTGTTCCATCCCATCTCACTACTTGGCACAATTCAACTTGACTAAAAAATTTATTATTAGGTTGTGAAAATTGCTTGAATTTTATAGAAATCATGAACTGATCTAAGTTAAACCACTAATGAAAACCTGAAAGCATTGAGCAGTCGTTTTGTCCTAGTATGACCCACTTCAGCGGTGTACAATCCTTCGTGTGAGAATCAGTTCATGATTCCTATATTAAAAAATAAATAAATAAACTTTCTACTTTAAAATTTTCAACGTAATTTATTATAAATAAAATTAGTGTTGTATGATTACACAAATTATTCAATTCTAATTTTCTTAAGACCTGGTGATGATGTATTAGAAATTGGATTTGGGCAAGGTTATGGTATTAGATTAGCTGCTGAATGCGTTGCTCCTGTTACAATGAACCATTGGAAATCTTCACGAATTAAATTTATACTAGAAAATGCTTTTTCAACATCAACTATTAAATCCAATACATTCAAAAATGATGGTCATGTTTATGGTGTTGAAATTTCTGAATATATGCTACAAAAAGCAAAAAGGTGAATTAAATTTATTAATTTCTATGTGTATATTATCATTGAGATACTACATAATCAATTAGTTGGAATTGATACATGATACTTATCTATACACTAGGTTTTCTGATTTCTTACCGTATAAATTGTTCATTAGCATTACTATACATCATCAGTACTGTCATGTTATACTTAAAAGTCTACTACATATTTGAATACATAATTTATTTTGTAACTATGTATACATTATGCGCATTTTGTGAAAGACAAGTTGATCATTATTTGATGATCGTTCTGTTCGATTACTCAGAAATACTAACTATTATTTACCGAATCAGTGGTTCAAAAAAATTAAACACTCATCACATGAACTAAGGGTTCTCCATTCGATTCCTGGTAGTGTACTGGGTGCTTTACAGCTTAGGAACAGTGGCCCACGTGTTAGGATGTATTAGCTATCTATTGCTTTCTGGTTTATAGTGATTATTTGACTAGGTTTGGTTTGTAATGAAAACTTATATATTCCGATAGACATTATTAAAACATTCAAGCTCATAAATCTTACCTTAATACCTCTATTTAAAACATATATATATATATATATATATATATATATATATATATATATATATATATATATATCTTTGTGTTGGATCTAAAGGATTGTTAGGTTAGTACAGTCTGATTTTAGTATTCTGTAAATTTCTAATTAGACAACATAAATCTCACTGATTGTATCACATGACCACAGTTCATCGACTGAGATGGTGGGCCACGTGTTACGTATGCCTGAACACCGATTACCACGTCGTGCAATCCTAATGGGTGTTAGAGATGGTTGGAAGAGAATTAGGGGCGGCCAAACCAAAACATGGCATCAGTGCTTGAAGACACTAACCTCTAGTCTGAGCCATGTTGGTAGATGCAGACTACTTGGTTGGGGTCGGCGTGACTTTCCCAACCGATGGTTGGAGACTCTTGGTGACATGGCTCAGAATCGATCACAATGGCGTCGGTGCATACACTCATTGTCTTCCCTTAAACCAAGAGATTAAAATCACTTCATATCTTTCTTTCTACGAACTAATTCTTTCTTCCTGTACTGTATCCTTATGTGCAATCTTTCTCCTATATAATACCACCTTTGACCTAACCACTCCTATGAATCCGGTGTTCATCTTGCTGTGCTAATAAGGTATGGCAACCTGGACCGATGCATATATGTGCCTGGTCCTACGTTGTAGCTGACTGACTGGCCACAATTCACATTTGACGGAACAAATACTTAAGGTTCAATTCAATCAGAAATACTGTTAACACAATCTAATGATTGTTAATCTACATGCTGCATAATAGATAGATGCTCTTCTGAAATAATCCGTTCAATACGAATATTCCTAAATGTACAATTAAGTATGTGTTATTTCTTGTCAAATATTCAGTATCCTTCATGAGATGAATAACTTCACCATCATATCATAGCGTTTAAATACTAATGACAGTAACGGTAATGCAACTGTTTTACTGATTATGTGTTTATATAATAGTTTTTGAACTACATATTCACGTTGGGAAATATGGTTAGAATCTGAATTTCAATGGTTGAAGGTCTAGTGCTCTGATCAATATATCCCTGGTCTAGTATCATGAAGGTTAATCAATATTAACGAATAATGGGTAATATTGATCAACCGTGAGATAAATATTAATATCAAATGCAGAAGTCATCCCTAAATAGTTGGTTTAAATAAAATGGTTATATCCAAATCTCACCCATAAAAGTATTCTGTCACTATTCAGTTGTATTTCTATTGCCTGATTAAGTGAAATTTTTATAACTAATAAAGTTTCTTTTAGGTTATTGCAGAATGTTTGTAGAAATTGTTAAGTTTCATAGTTTACATCAACAGACTGATCTTAGCAAGACAATCATTGAAAAACAGGAAGCACCAAACATCTCTTTTGTCCCAGTAACTTCCATCAGTTTGCCATAATACACAATCATCACTCATTGGAATTGCTGAAAATTGTCCTGCGTATTCTATCTTTGATGAGGATCGTGGATACGCATTGTTGAAAAATTCCGTACAAGAGTGAAACAGCTTTCCAATGCTTTATGATTGTCTAACAACAATCAGTCCATAATGTAAATTACCAATCTATATATGACGGATGAACTTAATTACTATAAAAATATAAAATTTATAAACTCTTAGATTAATATTTTTTAAATGTTATATCATTTACGTGTTAATTGTAATTAATTATTTCAGGAAATTATGGCCTCTTACTAAAACTGATTGCATTGACTTACAATTAAGAAGTGTATATCATCTGCATTATCCACCTTCCTCAATCAATGCTTGTTTTCATGTGAATTGTTTTTACTTCTGGCCTTCGTTAACGTGTTGCTTACAAAAAATTTGGAGAGTTCTACGTCCTAATGGACGTCTTGTAACTACTTTTCAAATAAATCAATTAATTGATTTACATCAACGTGGATGGTTTCAATATGGTAATCCTGATCCCTTAATTTATGTGATGGCATTAGAAACATGTGGATTTAATCAAATTGAATGGTTAAAACAACAAACAAAATTCAATTTAAATGAAACATATGATTGTATTATCGCTCACAAACCACCCATTCCATTATTAAGTGCTTCAATCTCTTAGTATGTATATTTCCTCAACGTTTCCTGTTACTTTTTTTTCATATCATAATTTATGCATTATGTATATACATATATAGGCTTGAGTTTTTTTCCTTTTTGATAATAAGGACTGGATTTCATAATTCTTCACTAGTGCATGTATCACTCTGAACAGATCGCTTCAGTATTGCCATTTAGTTCCAAGTTTTTCTATAGTTAAATAGCGGCTAGGAGAGAAATCCAAAAGGTTTATTTCGTTTTCTTTGGGAATCATAGGTGTTAGTTATGTCCATAACTAAGCAATTAAATCGTTGTTTAAGCAACCACCACGTCGATCTGGTCTGATGTGTCTGTAAACTGCCCTGTTGCATGTGACCTACCAATTGAAAGATATTATTATCCTATTATATTAATGTGACTCATAATTTTACTCATTTCGATAAGACACGTAATACTGGTTGGTATGTTTGTGCGTTTCACTTAATAACTGTAATTTCCTTAATTATTGTACTAATCTAATTGTTTTTACGTTCAGAAACAGACAAAGTTTAAAGCCAAGTTGTCCTTGTTCCGATTATAGCTTTCACATAGACTCTGTGCTCCCCAGTATCGCGTTTACGGTTCTAGTAGTAAATCTGTAGGACAAATTAAATCCTACAAGAAGTTGGATATATCTCCATACCTAATCCAAATAGCTACTGCCTTGCACAACGAGTATGAATGTTTTTTGTAAGGGTTGACATTTTCTCATTTCTTCAATGTTAAAAACTGGGTTCGCGTCTCAATATGGACGAACATCAATAGTGAGCTATAGGTGAATCCAGCCGAAGGGTCCTATTTAGAAATAAACGCATCTCCTAGATTCCGCTACTGGTCACAATCCAATTTATACTTTCTTATTTAATTCTTGAACTTATTTTGACCTCATCTTTGATAAGTGATTTGCATAGACATTGGTTCAAACCCTACATGGGACATTAGTTCTTTCAAAATCCCAAATATGGCTTTGTAACAAAATACCAACTAGTACGGGACTTATGTCTAAAATCTTCGCCTAAACACTGCCTTCCATTTTAAAGTTTACTCAGGACTCGACTAATTATTGATCATTAGTGAATTGGAATGCATGATTCCCAGCATAGTTTTGAAATTTACGGTTTTTTCTCCATTTATCTAATGTCTATGTTTACAATTATTTTGGATAGTGGGTTTTTGTTTTTCATTCATTGATAAAATGACCTAATGAATTGGACGGAATCATATTTAGTATACAAGTTGACCTTGGTTAACAAGGAAACTGCTTCACTGGTAATATATATATAGTGGTAAGGAGAGAAATCACTGGTGAAAAACATTTTCATTTATTCTTTTTGTCCATAATTGATTATTGGATAGAACTCCACAATTTTTGTATTAACAGTAGTTGTGGTAATATTAATAGTAATAGTATTGGTAGTAGGCATAGCAGTCTTAGTAGCCTGAGCAATAGTTATAGTATTAGTTGTAGCAGAAGGAGTAGGTGTAGTAGTCGATTTCGTGGCAATCGTCGTGGACCTGGTAGTCATACTAGTAGTAGTCGTTGTGTTCGTAGTAGTAATAGTATGCGTAGCTGTCATAGTAGCAGTAATTACTTACTTACGCCTGTTACTCCTTGTGAAGGAGCATAGGCCGCTCACTAGCATTCTCCATCCAACCCTGTCTTGGGAAATCCGTTCCAGCTCCTTCCCGTTGTTACTCATCCTTTTCATATCTGCTTCTATTTCCTGACGTAATGTGTTCTTTGGCCTTCCTTTTTTCCGTTTTCCTTTAGGATCCCAAGTTAGGGCTTGGCTCGTGATGCAGTTTGATGATTTGTGTAATGTATGTTCTATTCATTTCCATCGTCTTTTCCTAATTTCTTCAGCTGGAAGCTGGTTTGTTCTCTCCCACAGAAGGCTGTTACTGATGGTATCTTGCGTAGACAACCATTTATAAATACTTGTACCTTCTTGATGGTGGTTGTTGTAGTTCTCCAAGTTTCAGCCCCGTACAGTAGAACTGCCTTGACGTTCGTATTGAAGACTCTGACTTTGATATTGGTTGAAAGTTTTTTTGAGTTCCATATGTTCTTCAATTGTAGGAATGCGGCCCCGTGCTTTGCTAATTCTCACCTTTACGTCTGCATCTGAACCTCCTTGTTTATCGATGATGCTTCCCAGGTATGTGAAGGATTCTACATCTTCCAGAGTTTCGCCATCAAGAGTGATTGGATTGCTGTTCTCCGTGTTGTATTTGAGGACCTTGGTTTCCCCCCTGTGCATGTTGAGGCCTACTGATGCAGAGACTGCTGCTACACTGGCTATCTTTATCTGCATTTGTTCATGTGTATGCGATAGGAGGGCTAGGTCATCTGTGAAGTCCAAATCGTCTAATTGATTCTGAGCTGTCCATTGTATTCGCGTTTTCCCTCAGATGTCAAGGTCTTCATAATCCAGTCGACCACCAGAAGAAAGAGGAAGGGAGAGAGTAGACAGCCTTGTCTGACTCCGGTCCTTACTTGGAATGCGTCTGTCAGCTGTCCTCCATGCACGACCTTGCACTGTAGTCCGTCGTATGAGTTCTGGATAATGTTGACAATCTTCTCAGGAACTCCGTAGTGTCGAAGAAGTTTCCATAATCTCCTCCTTTCTACACTGTCAAACGCCTTTTCATAATCAATGAAATTGATGTATAGTGACGAGTTCCACTCAACTGATTGTTCGACGATGATCCGTAGTGTTGCAATTTGGTCTGTGCACGACCGATCCTTACGGAATCCAGCTTGTTGATCTCGAAGTTGGGCGTCTACTGCATCCTTCATCCGGTTCAGCAACACTCTGTTGAAGACTTTTTCTGGTATCTGCAGTAGTGTAACGCCTCTGTAGTTCTCACATTTGCTCAGATCTCCTTTATATAAAATCTTGACGAGGTGCCCTTCTTTCCAGTCCATCGGCACTTGTTCCTCCTCCCAAATCTTTTTGAATAGAATGTGAAGCATTTTTGTAGTTATTTCAGTGCTTCAGCTGGTATATTGTCGGGTCCTGCTGCTTTCCCGTTCTTGATTTGTCTGACGGCCATTCTAATTTCTTCCTTCGTTGGTGGATTTACATCTATAGGAAGATCTGTGTGTGCTGCTTCGATGTCCAGTGGATTCATTGAAGTCGGCCTATTCAGGAGTTCCCCGTTCCGCTGTTGTTGAATTTCAGTTATTGGCCTGCCTTCTTTGTCCTTGACCGGTCTCTCTGGTTTACTATATTTCCCTGCTAGTTTCTTCGTTGTATCATAGAGCTGTTTCATATTTCCTTCTCTTGCAGCTTTTTCCTCCGTCGATGCTAGTTCATCCACGTACTTCTTCTTGTCGGCTCTAATGCTCTTCTTCACTTGCTTGTTTGCCTCTATGTACTCAGCTTGTGCTTGGACTTTCTCTGTTCGTGTTCGGCTGTTGTTAATTGCTGTCTTCTTGTTCTTCCTTTCTTTGATCTTGTCCAGTGTTTCTGTAGAGATCCATTCCTTATGATGGTGTTTCTTTAGACCCAGAACCTCTTGACACGTTGAAGTTAATGCTTCTTTGATACTTTTTCAGTTGTCCTCCATAGTAGTTTCTTCTTCCTTTAGTAGATCCTGTAAGGCTTGGAACCTGTTGTTGAGAGCTATCTTGAGTTTATTGAGTTTGCCAGTATCTCGAAGGAAGGCTGTATTGAACCTTTGTATTGCTGTTTGTCCACTTGTCCACTTCTTCTTTAGCTTCAGTTTTAAATTGGCCACAACTAGGTGGTGATCTGATGTTATGTCAGCTCCTCTCCTGGTTCCCACATCTTCCATTGTCCTTCGGAATTTTTTATTAATACAGATATGATCTATCTGGTTCTCTGTGGTGTGGTCCGATGAGATCCATGTAACTTTCTGTATACGTTTGATTGGAAATATTGTGCCGCCTATGACCAATTTGTTGAATGCACACAGATTTGCAAATATTTCCCCACTTTCATCTATCTCTCGCAGTCCATGTCGTCCCATAATATCTTCATATCCGGTGTTGTCTATTTCGACTTTGACGTTTAGATCTCCCATCAGAATGGTGAGGTTCTTTCTTGGGCCTTTCTCTATGATTGATTGTAGCCGCTCATAGAACTGATCTTTAATGTCGTCGTTGCCATCATTGGTGGATAATATTCAATAGCTAGTTTATGTTTTTAAAACAGGAATTCCGTATTTTAAGTCTCCTAGTTGTAAAGTATTTTTATTATAGGATAATAAAAGTTACTAGTGAGTATATGACTTCATTGTACTCTATGGTTGTCGTTCAAGGATATTCACGTTATTTTATTTTTCTTCATATATTCTATTATGATTAGTTGTAAGTCGAATCAATAAGCTTTTAATCAAGGTTCTAGTCAGTTATTACAGAAACATAACAACTTATAACGATAAAGGAGAAAATATCAATAGATTGGTTGCTGATGTCACTTTAGACTTACTTTTATTTTATAAATTATTGTCAAATAATGCATCACCTAATTTGTAGTCTATTCTGACTAATAATTCCATTTCATCTATATTAAATAGAATTACCTGTTTTATTTCGAAAGACCATACAGTATGCTTTCAAACATCGAGTTATGATAAAATGTGTACTCGATAGAAAACGTAGGTAATAGTATCAAGACATCAGATTAATTATATAGTAATAATTGGTTGATGGACCTTTAATTACAAAGTTTGATACTTATATCAGCGCTAACTTCAAAAGAATTTCAAAATAATTGTTTAGGCAATGATTTTTATTGAATTCGATTGTAAGTAGGAAATAATTTTCTATTAATTATCAAACTTATATTTTATACTGTTATGGTCAAATTCACGTTAGTGCAGACGCTTAATCGAATTTCAGTTGACATAAGGGAAATATCTCAACATAAGCTACAAATCTTTACTAATTTATTGTTCCTAATAATTAAATACAAATTAAATTTTATTCCCATCTTTAACTCAGTAATGATTCCATACATTTCTAACAGTTTTTTCCTCTTTGCAATTACGTGAATGTTAGTGGGAGAAAGACTGGAACTTATTTTTTCCTGGATT